GTGGTGGTAATAACTCCCTATGTCATGATGACTTTAAGTCACTGCCTATTCCACCACAAACTGACTAATTAACTCAGCTCTTGAGATGGCTTCAGATCTGAATTTTAGCTTTTATGTTCTGCATAATGAACACTGTCATTCAAAGGAAAACTAGGACATTTGTTCATGACAAGCCTGGTCACAGTGAGCACAAATACCTTCAGTGAATACACAGGCAGTGTCATTACACAAGAGGTTTTTTTAATGCTAAATACAACTACTTGTCTGGTGGAAAAAAAATGTTTAAGCATCCTTCCCTTTAAAAGCAAGAATATTATACCAAGGTAACAGAAGCAACAATTGCTCTTGATAATTTAGATATCATACAGGAGACTGTAAGACTTCAGAGCTAATGGCCTCGAATCCCTTTTCATGCAGTATGACATGCTCAATCCATTATTTAAACACCACAGCTGCTTAAATAAAAGCAAGATTTTGAATATTTCCCCCCTGCTACTGATTATTTCGCACAGGCAAAACAGCACATTGTCAAACCAACGTCAATTCACGTGTGTATTTCTTCAGCTCAGAAAGACTCATTTTCCTGAACAACTCGAGAACCACCCGTGGACTTCAAAAAAAAAAGAAAAATGGAAAGAATGAGTTATTGTGAGTCAGGCAAAAACTGATCATTTCAGTCTAGGTAACAGTTGATCATTTTGAGCTGTCTCAAAGAGAAAACAATCCTTGAAGTGTCTGAAAGATGAAATACTTATCGGGTTTTGTAACACCACTTTATCTGGTAATACCTGACTTGCTCTGTGTGACACAGCAAGTTTCCTAAAGGAAAGGTTAAAACAGCTATTCTGCATAGGGAAGGCTCCAGGGAGACTCCAGAGCCCCTTGCAGTGCCTAAAGAGGCTCCAAGAGACCCGGAGAGGGACTTGAGACAAGGGATGGAGGGACAGGACAAGGGGGAATGGCTTCAGACTGCCAGAGGGGAAATTCATGTTGGATATTGGGAAGAAACTCTTCCCTGTGAGGGTGGGGAGGCCCTGGCACAGGTTGCCCAGAGAAGCTGTGGCTGCCCCTGGATCCCTGGAAGTGTCCAAGGCCAGGTTGGACAGGGCTTGGAGCAACCTGGGCTGGTGGGAGGTGTCCCTGCCCATGGCAGGGGGGCGGAACGGGATGGGTTTTAAGGACCCTTCTAACCCAAACCATTCTGTGGTTCTGTGAAAAGAAAAAACTATCAAAAAATATTCCCATCCCCTAAAGTGAGTTCACTAAATGTCCTCTTTCTAAATGAAGCACATGAGATGCCATGTACATCTGACAGCACTTTGCTGCCCCTGTGACTTCGGGTTGAGCAGCACTGGACACCTGCTCCCTCACCACCCCTTCTCTTTCCTGAGCCACATTTTTATTACCTTCTTGTATTGTCCAAGACAGCTATAACTGGAGTCTACTAAATAAATTTGCTTGAGAAATTTATATGGGATTTGAAAGTTTAATGCAACTGCCAAAGATTTTGGAGTGCTGGGAGAATTAATCTCACTACTCATTACATTTATTGATTCCAATCAAGCTTCCGGACATCAGCACAGGTGCCACTGCTAAGAAATAAGAAGTTTCCAGGAAATCTGTACGTAAACCTCAAGTGACTGCCAGCTTTGGGAAAGGAAAAAATGCTCAGAAAGAGGTGTGTAATCTAAATGCCAGTAAAGGCAGTACTAATAGGCCATCATTCACCACGTGGGAAGCTTTCTCCAATACTGGTTTTGTAGCCAACTCAAGCTGGAACCACACTCCTTGAGCCTGTAACAGGGTCAGTATTTATAACAGCCTTTTCTCTTTAAATACTTTTTGAATTAGGGATGAAAAGTAATAAGGTGCTTCCACACCCAAAGGCTGGGGGTTGTTATTTTCTTTTTTTTTTAATCACAAGCTGAAAGTAGTTGAAGGTAGAAGCTGAACAGCCTCTCCAGCTGGTACATCTGCATCAAATACAGGTGGAGGCTTTTCTTTTGAGAATGGAAGAAAACAGCGATTGTGAGTTTTGGAAATAATTTACTACATTTGCTACAGTAAATCTGAGATAAGCAAAGTATTTGTGAACGTATGAAAAATAATGATGTGATTTTATGCAAAATAACCACAGAAGTATCCACTTCCCACTGAGGACAACCCCATTGCTGTCAGACTCTGGCTCAGCTGTGGAAAGAGCTCACTTCTTGGGACTCCAGTTTTATGGAACTGTTTGTAAGGACAAAATCAGTCTGAGCACACAGGTGGGGTCTGTTCCACACTAAACCAGTTGTTACAGATGAATGAAGTAACAGGAAGTTTTTGCCCCCACAGCTTACAGCTGCAGTCAGGAGGAGAGTGAGAGAAGGTAAGGGAGAGCGAGTGAGAGAGGTTTGCAGTGCCCAGGAACACAACAGTGGTGTGAGATCAATCCAGCAGAAACCACCACTGCTCAAATGCATTTCATTAAATCAGGATTTCCATATTTCTGCCATCACCACAATTACAGCCTCTATTAGCTAAGTCACACTAGGAATACCAGGGCAGGAAGGCCCTAGAGTTGGGACAAAGATTTTCCAGCAGCGGCTTAGAATCTCAGAATCACATTAAGTTCAAGAGTCTGGTTGAGCACAGCACAAGAACAATTTTATTTACATGACTGAAAACTAATTTTAACATAAATTGCTTTTCACTTTTTTTTTTTGGTGTGTAGTACAAACTGCATAAAGCTACAATGGAAAACACCTGGGAAAAGAATTATTCCAAGAGTTTGCTGCAACTCTCAATTTCTGAAGTATCATTTTTACTCACCGTGGTGTGCTAATAAACAAGAGCAGTACCAACAACAAGCCCTGCCTGAAAGATCTTTCTGGAACACCTGTGATGCAACAATTGCTTGAAATGGTTGGGATGGCTCATATTTTAGAGTGGGTCAACATTTACTCCTTAACAGAATAAATGCTTTTAAACTTTCCCATTTCTGAACTTTGTGCTTCAAACTTAAAAGAGAAAAAAACCTGCAAAGCTAAACAGCAAAACTTCAATAACTTGTCAGGATTCCTTCATGTTTATCATTTTGCACAAATACAGCCTTGATATAGTTTAATCCTAGCTATTCTTTGCAAAATTAAGTTAAATGTAAACGATAAATAACAATTAGCCCATTCAGTCTGAATTTTCTGGTTTTCTGTGTCCTCATTTGACTTCACGTTGAGTGTTATTTTGAGACATGCTGCTAAAAGAGCAACATAAAAAGTGGCCTAAACTTTCTGACTAGGTTGATTGCAACCCTGTTACTTCCACAAAAATACAGAATTTTACTCTCTGGATAATACCTAACCTAGCCTATTAACCTATCAGGCAACGGGATCAACTTGTGGAATTTTATGTACAGGCTTTCATTAGTTTGTGGCTGAGAAGGCGTCGCTGCCACAAATCAGAGTTTACTCCTAATAGATTGTTTGACTCCTCTTTGCAATTGGAAGTACAAGCACAGCCATAAAAACCTTCACAGCCACTTTCTTGTCTATGAGCTCAACCTCACAGGCTCGTGGGACACACCTTAGCAGAGGGAGTGTCAATTAAGAGAGAGAGTCCTGAAAGATAACTCACAATATTAAGAAAAACCAAAACAAACACACAAACAAAAAAAAACCCCAAACAAAAAACCAACAACAGCAACGACAAAACCAAAACATAAATAAACAAACAAAACAAACAAACAAAACAACCCCAACCAAACCATCTTTGTGTTGCCATTTGTACATATTTACAGATGCCACCGAGAAACACCAGCATGAAAGTTAATTAACCAGGTTGACTGACAAAGGAAACAGATGTGAGTATAGTAATCTTCTGCACTGGAATTAATTTCATCAAGTTTTAGGTGATGCCACAAATAAAGGTCAGGTTGTACTACTGAGATGATCAAGAACACAAACTGTAAATCTATTGCAACATTTAATAACACACATTTCCCACAGGGCAGGAACCCTTTCAGGCAACCATGTGACGAGCAAATACTTAAATGTCACACTTTGAAAATCACTTAACCGGTGCCTTCCACAGCACATACTTCCCCTTCAAAACAGAACAAGAGGAGCAGTTTCTGAAGCACATAGGACATTTCACACTGTCTTCCTAATTGCCTCTAATTGTCAGTTATGATTTTGCACACCACAGTTTAAACCCTATCAAGGATGCATTCCATCAGCTGCAAACAGATAAGAAAAGGCCGCAAGGGAACATGACTTTCATGTGCTTGGACATCCCCTGCAAACCATAGTTAAGGATGTTTTATCTACTCCCATGGTGGTATTTCCTGAATTCCATATGATTTGGATTTTAAAGCATCAAGTAATGCGATAACCGAGCTCATCTTCAAATTACTTTTCCAATACTTCATTCTTACTCTCCTGTTTCTGTTCTGTATTTATCTGATTTCAGCCTCCTGCCAAGGATCTGCTGCTTTCTGCCATTCCAGTCTGCCTCCAGTTTTCAAGCATTTCCTTCCATCTCTTCACCTCTCCAGTTCTCTTCCCTTAGCTGCCAATTAAGAGTCATCTCCTCGGAAATTTTTGTTCCAAGGACATTTGATCACCAGAACTGAGCTAAAATTAAATATTAAGTCGACTTACCAAACTAAAGCAAATTAGCATGTGTGATTCTTCAGGTATCTTTAATAAAGATACAGATTATAGACAAATCACGGGGTTGGACATGAGGAGGAATTTCTCCCTGGAAAGGGTGGTCAGGCCTTGTCAGGGGCTGCCCAGGGAGGTTTGGAGTGCCCATCCCTGGAGGTGTCCCAGGAAGGCCTGGCCGTGGCACTCAGTGCTCTGGGCTGGGGGACAAGGTGGGCATCGGGCACAGGGGGGACTCAGTGATCTCTCCCAACACAAATGATTCGGGGGTTCTGCCATTGTTTTCTTTACTATTAAAGAATTGTGTTCCCTGAATCCAACAGATCAACCCAAAATGAAATAAAAGACCCTCACCTTTCCATCCTGGGCGTACGCGGCTCCCGACAAACCCCCCCAGCTGAACGTACTGTATCCCTTGTCCTTCTCTGAGCAACCTTCTTCTCCAGCTCCCTCAGTCTTGCTTCCTGCTGGACCTTATTCTACGTCTGTGCAGAACCACCGGAGGCATTATCCACGGAGCAGATCCCTCTCCACATTGCTCAGCACGTTACTTGTGGTGCTGCAGTGGGTGAGAAGCCCATGCTCTGTGAAAGACAAAGCCACAAAGAGAGAGAAGACAATGTCAGAAGAGACAGCAAGACCCAGATCAGACAGCAGTTGGCTGAGTTGGGTGCAGAGCAGGTGCTCAGCACAGGACTCGGCAGCCTGAATGATCCCAAGGGAAGCGCCTTCCAAAATGACTCTTAAGACCAAATAAACAACTTGAAGCCTGTTCTCCCCCAACCAAACCTCATTTTACACTGGTTAGTCACAAAGCAATTACTGCCTGTTACAAAAATCACACAATGGCTTGGGTTGGAAGGGACCTTAAAGATCATCTTATTCCAACCCTCCCTTGCAATATTGCAGTATTTTCTAGAAAAAGAGTTCAGCTCATGCACCATTGTTCTTCAGATGGGGAAAAAAAAAAGCCCTTAACCTCTTAGTACTTTTCATTAACTACAGCTTAAACCCCTATGTATCTTCAGCAAACCCCAAATGGTCTTAAACAGAGGTCCAACAGCATTTACCAGACCACAGAAAATATAACGGGAATGTTTCTTGTGTATTCTCATCAGAACAAAATAACACTTCAAATAAAAATCATTTTATGAAGTCATTTCAAAAATACTAAAGAAAATATAAAGTGCAAGGCTTGTTCTGTTTAATTTTTTTTTAAATGAAAATGGTAATAAAATACGAAAATTGTGAGTTAAAATTTCTTTAAAACATCAGGGAAACTTGCAGCTTGAAATAGTAATAGTTTCATCCAGGAAAAACAAAGTGAAACACACTAGAATGAATTTTTAATATCCAATTAATGGACAGATGATGACTTGCACAGAGCCACAGTGCCAGCCTGGGGAGCTGCAGTGGGCACAGAAGCCTCGAGCTGAGAAGCAGAGCTGGAGCTGCTGCTCCATCAAATGCAGAAGCACAGGATGATCTGAGCCAGTGGGGTTTGTCTTCCAATAACTTTTTCTTAGTGAAAAAAAAAAAAAAATCAATTTGCAACACTTTTCGTAGATAAAGCAGACAAACTCTTGGTCCAGGTGGCAAGAAAAAGAAACCTATGCAATGCTAGGGCTGAAAACCTCAGGAACACAACCTAGGCAATAAGTTTTGCTGGTAAGGAAGCAGGGCAAAATAGCAGAGTTCCTTTAACCATGCTTGAAACAAATACCAGTTTCCAAATCACTTCAGATGCACATATATCCTAAACCTGCTATAAACATTCCATAGATATTCAGGAATAAGTTCTTTAGTTCTTTGGTATAGGGATGAGTAAAGATGCTTGTGTAAGGAGTTGGTGCTGAAGAATAATAACCTCTTTTTGTCTGATGGAGAGGAAATTAGAGGCACTTCAATAACATAAAATATCCCTCAACCATGGGTCATATGCTTAAAATTAGAAAAATCACGAAATTCAACAACACTTCATGAGAAAACTGATCCTGCTCCAAAGTATGAAATGTTTTCTTCCTGTTTTTCAGCACTATGAAACAGAACTTTACTAAAGCTTCTTAAACAAAGTTACCTACAAAAAGATAGGGGAAAAGGACATTTAAGAAGGGAAGGCTCACAGTCAAAGTGTTGGATTATATTACATTATTATAGCTACTGGTGCAATCTTAATTCACCTCTGCTGTGCATATTTATCATGAAACCAGCTGGAACCACACTCCTCTGCTCCAGGAGGCTCCTGCCTTGGGCCCAGCACCAAAGGGGGAAGAATAAAGTAAATGGTATATCCGGAAATTCCGAGTGTTTGAATTCCTAACTTAAAAAATTTCTTTGTACAAGACGTGCACATTACACACACAGACACGTGTCACCCCAGTGTCAAACGTTTCACAGCTCAAAAAAGGCTGACCCTCCAAGACTTGCTTTCTATCAAAAATATTCACCACTCCCCTCCTCTTCTGGTTATCAGTGCTACGAAAAAGAAAAACCACCACGAATTTCACAAAGCTGTTCTCCAGACAAGTGACATTTAGCCCACTGTTCCTCCACGTTCCTGGCAATCTTCCCCTGCTCAAGTGTGCTAACATTAATAAAGAATTCTAAGGTGAGCAAGAACTCTTAGGAATATGTCAAGGACTGGGGGAGAAAAGCACCATTGGAGAGGAAAATCCATTAGAAAAATGAAAAACAAGATCAAGCCAACTATGACTCTCATATTGCAGGACTACCAAGCTGCCTTATTAAATTGCCAGTAAGAAGAAAAATAAACAAAAAGGATGGAATTAGGAGAAGCAGCAACCCACTCAGTATTGAAGTGTCTGAAAGTTTGCCTCAATTCTAATAACGTACGTGAAAAAAAACGAGAAGTTGAATTACTTTTTCCAGGCGTTTTATTAAAATACATTTTATTGGAATACACACAAACATACTCTTCCTCTGTTTTCCAGAGAAGTAGGGGAGTATGTACATGTGTATGAGGGAAGAAAGATAGGCTCTAACACTAAGGCATTTGTTCCAAGGATTTCCCTTGTTCCCTGTTTTCACCTGCCACACTTCCCTGTTTGATCCATCTTTTCCTCTCTATCAGTAGGTTCAAAGGTTTGGGTCAATAAAGTCCCTGAATACTCACCCTAGAGCAAGAAATTTGGTCAGGAGATAAAAGAGCAGCGAAGTCTACAAAGTGCAAAATTTCAGCAATCTCAGATAATCAACTAAGTGCAGAGATCTGATCTTAAATAAACCATCAAATATTGCAAATGATTCAAAATCACAGTATAATCTGTCAGATCCTCTCAAATTTCCATCAAATACATTTCCAGGACATGAAGGGCTTCAGTTAATTAATAAGGATTCCTGAAATCATGTAAAACATCAGAAAAAACCAGAGGTAGGGTCATTTGTCTTAAAAAGGGGGATAAAAAATTAACAAAATCACAGCACTCAAGGGGAAAAAATTAAATTAATCATACCCATCCTTCACATAAAACACTCTAAACTTTGCAGTCTGGGGTTCCCAAATGGGAAATAAATGGGCTCAGGTATATTTGGACCCCAGTAAATATAGCATAGAATGTTTCATGACATGACTTTTCATTAACATTTCATGTGTTTATTATTTTTTAACTAATGCTTACAGTACAAAACTACTACATACATTAAAAATTGACTGAAACCAAATGAAAACTAGAATTTAAGGATGGGAGTTGCCAAGGTTCAAATAGCAGGGATCACAAAAACTGGCTAAAAGTATACAAAATAAACCAGTCCAAACAGCAGAAGTTATTTTTCTTATACAAAGTCAACCACATTAATGAGGATGTTTCCTATGGGAAAACATACTATAATTTGAGCAATTTTTAAGTAAAAGGTTAATGGATATAAATTACGAAAAACAGCCCTTTACTGGGGAGACAAATCATCTCATTAAGCCTGGTGACATTCCTGGCTTCAGTTACAACAGAACTGCACCCTTCAGTACTTCAGTACCCTTTAATTGATTTATTTTCTCAGCCATTGTCAACTGTAAGAAGGAGTGAAAGTCTCCCAGTGCCAAAGAATGAACCTCACCTGGGGAGAAACCCAGGGATGGCTGAAAATCAGGGAAGCAGACCTTTATGGAGGGATTTCCTGAGACCAGAACAAACCATTGTTGTCCTGCTCCGAGAGACGATGTTAACACGAACACGAACAAGCCTGGTGATGGCATCCAAACCCAGACAAAGAGTGGCAGCTACATGGGGAGAAACCCTTTCCAGGAGCAGTTTTCTGACTCAGTTCTTACATCTCCCATTTGTTCTCCTCCCCAAATCTCTGTTCTGGCAAGGAATCTCTCTCCCAGAGTGCTGCATCTCATTACTAAGGCATCCGCTTCAAGCCAAGTCTTTTTTCATCCTAATGTAAAAATCTTCACTAACAGAAAAATGCCAAATGATCTATTTTTCTTTAGAGGTGAGCCAAATCTGCATACTCGATTTCTTATTTAACTGGACCCATCTATAACAACTACAGACTCCAGTTTCTCCCTACCATGACAGAGGCTTCCTTCTTAATACTTCACCACAGCCAGTCAACTCCCAAAAAAAACCAGAAAAAAATGAATATATCTATGTGATTAATGCTTGACTCACAGTACCAGTCAGTGAAACTTCAGCAATGCGTTTTTCTTTTTTTACAACTAAATATAGCAGTAGCTATATTTTCAGTCACTATAGCTAAAATAATTAGCTAGAATTAGCGTATTTTTAACTAATCTAGTTAATAATTGCCAAAATGGAGATGATGTCGAGCTGGGGGTTGCAGAAAGAGAGCAGGCAGCAGCAGCAGCTGCCACCAGACAGATCCATTACATTATTTCTCCCATTTTATCTCCAGACTAGACCCAAGTTTTCCAACTACAGCTATGATCTACACTGGAAGCAGAATCCTGTTCACAGGACTGTTACACACAGGAACTGTCTTTCTAGCTTCCAGCCTTCTAAAAAGAAATCCTGCTGGCAAAAAACTCATCAGCAAAATTCTGAAATTCCTCAAAGAACATCATATATTATGGAACTGTGTATGTGAGGTAATGGTTCAGTTCTGTCCCTAGCAGAAATGTGAACTGAAACTGCACATCCTGAAACGAAACACCAGTAGTAAAAAAAGCAAACTAAGAAGAAAAAGGAAATATCACAGTGGGCATCAGCAAGGCATTGACAAAGCTCTCAGCATCAGCCTGACCCTCTGGGTTGAAATCCAGGATGCACATCACAGGGAGGTGGCCACTGCTGTCCACCTCCTGCTGTCAGTCTCTTCCAGTGCCACTAAGACAAGTAGAAAAAGCTGCTGAATTGAAATGTAAGATCTGTAGCAGGACTAAAAACATCTTGTGTTTTTATGTTGTCTTGAAGCACATATTGAACCAGACCATGAGAATCCCAGCAGCTGATGTGTTTAAAAGTCCTAAAGCAATGAAGAAAGCTTTCCACAGCCGTCTTTTCCCAGGCCTTGCAGAGCTGTTGCTTTGACTGTGATAGGGGACATCAAAGAAAACATAAATGCCTGTGTCTGGTTAAAAGGATCTGTCACAGACGTGTCCTTC